AATCAAAACTGATCAAACCCGAAATTAGTTTTTACTAATTTAGTGCTTTGCTATTTGTATATCTGATCGAATTTGGACTTCCATTTGTCTTGGCAGAGTGACCGTTTGAAGCAGTTTCTTGACGATTTGAGCACTCTTAATTCCTTGTGTGCGGTGCTTGGCATGGAGTTTAGGGACCAGATTTGTGACATAAATCCCACTCTTGATGACTCTAAAGGGATCAGAAACATTAGTGATGACACAATTCAAAGGTTATCTAATGCCATACATAACTTGAGAGAAACCAAAATACAAAGGCTTCGAAAGGTTAGTGTTTGAAGCAAGTTTCTGTTTGACTTTTTATGTTTAAGGCCACTATTAACATGGAGTGGTATGCCAGCTTCAAGATCTTGCTAGCACGATGCTGGAGCTATGGAACTTGATGGATACTCCACCAAATGAGCAGCATATGTTTCATAATGTAACCTCCAAGATAGCTGCTTCAGAACTTGAAATTACTGAGCCCAACTGTCTTTCAATGGATTTTATCAACCATGTATGTTGATATTAAGAAATATAATGCAATTTTTATTTGATATGTTTCTTAAGTAATTTATGATACTGAATATGAAGTATTTGCTTGTTTTTTTAGGTTGAGACTGAAGTGACAAGACTTGAAAACTTGAAATCGAGCAAAATGAAGGAACTTATACTGAAAAAGAAGTCTGAGTTGGAGGAGATATGCCGGCAAACACATATGATTATAGATGCACAGATTTTGAAGCATTTTTCAGTTGAAGCTATAGATTCCGGTAATTATTTGAGCTTGAGAAGTGTGAATGAAAGTAATTCAGCTTATTGTTTCATTTGGTTCTTGTATTGTACTTTGTAATTGCAATGAATTTATCTTGATTTACACTGAAAAGGTAATCATGATTTTGGTCTTCTACAGGTGTCATTGACCTCTCCTATATGCTAGAACAAATGGAACTTCAAATCTCAAATGCCAAAGAAGAGGCTTTTAGCAGGAAGGATATACTTGAAAGAGTTGAAAAATGGAAGGCTGAATGTGAAGAGGAATCCTGGCTAGAGGAGTACAGTATGGTGAGTGTGGCGTTTTTGTTTGGCTAACCTTTAATTTCTTACATTGCTAACTTCTCTTGTTCGCCAATTGATGCTTCTCTTCTCAGGATGAAAGTCGTTATTATGGTGGAAGAGGTGGACATCTCAGTTTGAAGCGTGCTGAAAAGGCCCGTACACAGGTCAACAAAATTCCAGGTATCTAATCTGCTTTGACTCTTCTTTAGCTTCCTTAAGTCCACAAACTTAAAGTTCTGTTTGACTTAAGGTGTCCTACTTTCCTTGGCTTTACAAATGATCAAATTTAATATCAAGTTCTTACATTAACCAAGTTTAAATTCTTAAGGCTATACTAGGAGCGCTGCAAGATACAGAAGCCTTACTAATATCTTTGTTATGATTTGTGTTTGGAATAGCAATGGTAGATACCTTGACTTCAAAAATCCAGACCTGGGAGAAAGAAAGAGAAGCAGAGTTCTTTTATGATGGGGTAAGCATTCAGCTGCATATCTAGAATTTTTTTGGGGGTTGCCATTAAGGTGATCTCAAATTCGTCTGCCTTTCATTCATATCCTTAATCATATTTGGTCCATGTGTTTTGAATTTAGAATTGTACTAATGCATAAATCCTATATCCTGTTCAGCTCCGGTTACTCTCTATGCTTGAAGACTACATCATCTTAAGGCAAGAAAAGGAGAAAGAGCGTCAGAGGCAAAGAGTATAACCCCTGGCCTTTTCCACAGTATTATTTTTTCGAGATTCAGTTTATAAATTCAGTAACTTGTTATAAATTCACATTTGTCCAGGATCAAAAGAAACTTCAGGGAAGACTCCTAGCAGAGAAGGAGGCACGTTTTGGTTCAAAACCCAGTCCAACAAAAAGTGTTAAGAAGGCTCCTAGATATTCAATGAGTGTAGCGGCTGCTGCTAACAGGAGATATTCTGTCAGTGGCGCAATGTTGCAAAGACAAAACTTCAAAACTGAAAGAACTGCTCTTCATTCACATCCTATTAAAAAATTAGCCCAATTCCAAGATGAAGGTATTCATACTTCGTTTCTGTTAGTTTTTGCTTTGAAAATCAACTCCCAAAGTGAAGTTAATATAATGCAGGCAAGAGAAACAATACACCTTCTGGTCAACTGCACAAGAAACAGGCCAAAACCATAAATTCAAAAGATTTTGGATCACCTAAGAAACGCAAGCCTTTTGCTCTCATTCGAGATCCTGTTACTGAAGTTTTGCACCCAACCAATACAACAGAAAAGCAGAATATGACACCTTCAAAAACACTTTCTGCTGGAAACACTCCAATAAGCACACCATCCAAGTTAAAGTCGGATGAGAATGGCAACAATAGCAGCACCCCAAAAAAGGTAGCAACTCCTGTGAAAGTCAGTCCATCAACGCTGTCCATTAGGTCCGTTTCTCCCTACACTCCGGCTTCTGTTAAGGCAGTAGAAGTAGAAAAGGATGACAATCCCGAGTATTCCTTTGAAGAACTAAGAGCTGGATATTTCCTGCCTCAGAAGACAGCACTGTCAGCATTGCAATATCTAGATGAAACTTCACCGATTATTAGTTGATCATCAAGCGATTTTGATGTATGTTAGGATGTTCAGATTTCCAAATAGATAGGCTGGTTGATGTTAGAAGTATCTTATTTGTTATAATAGATCTGATATGTACACCAATTCTTGAAGAAGCTGTTTGCTCCATTACATTCTGTTTCTGTTGGTCTTTCAGGCAGACAAGTAAATACAAAGATAAACATAATGCAGGAAACTTTAGTTTAAGATCTTAGCAGTGGTTATGTTTGTAAGTATGTTGCACTGAAACGATATTAGTACGTGCACAAAAGAACCTTCATTTCAAAAGATACAGAAAAGTAATTATTATACTTAGTTCTATACACTTTGGTGTTAGGGTAAAATTACAAGAGTTAATCACAAATAGTCTTACGAACCTCTTTTAGAGTTTTAGCCTTTAGGTATTGGGGTAAAGTTTACGGTTGGTTTATGTTGGATTAAAAAAGTAAGGGAAACAAATAATTGTATGCGATGTATAAATGTTTAGGGTGAATTTTAAAGAAAGTGGTACTGTTATAGTGTTATGACAACAAAGGTTGTTTGATTGTCACACATTATAATGTTGTTGAACTTACCATTAGCTTACATTTGCATATGGATGACAATAACCGGTAATTTTAACTTGTTTTACTCCCGTACATTTTAGGCAAGATTATTTATAAGACGACTTCAATCTTTTTTCAATAATATTGTGTGAAACATGTATTATTACATATGAAGATCACATACTCGTATCACTATAAACATATAATGAAAGCCTTAATTATAAGAACTAAGTAGTACAACAACTACACACTTTAGGGGCCTCAGGATAATAAGTCACAGGTCCACAGAAAAATCTGATGCCAAGCGATCCTAAATTAGAGCATTTTGCAGCACACTCAGCTTGCGTTTCACATTGCCCTACAGTCTTGCAATCATCGAATTCACCATCTTCACCTATTCACCACCCATGAGAAATTAAATTAGTTGACAAAAAATTCAGACTCGATTTATCTATCCGGATTTATTATCTAATACAATTTATATGCTCGTACTTTGGATTAGTTTATGATTGTCTTATTCTAAATACTTTCATTTAATTGAGTGATTGCGAGAGTGTAAAGAAAAAGAACAATAGTATTAGATGAAAAACACGAAAAAAAGGCAATTTCTTTTATGTATAATCGATTGTATAAAGTGTACGGTGGAACCAAAGCTATATGTTTGTCCAAGTGATTGCACCTTGTACGTGTGTACAGTGTACATACTTGCAAAGGGGGTATAACTACTCTTTTTATAACTCCTTTACCATATGATACTTTCTTAATTAAAATTTTAGCATTTTAACATGGAAAGCACTCTGTATGTTTTTTTATTTGGTAAAAAGAAAAGGAAAAATGCAAAAGAGGGGAAAAAAAAAAAATAACTACGTACCTTTGCAATGAGCGAAGAAGATGAATGTGATTAAAAGAGCACAGGTAAATTGGAGTTTTGGAGCTGTCATTTTGAGTACAATAACAATGAATGCTTGGTATTTTACTCGGTACATATCAATTCTAACAATAACTTTATATAGTGATGAATTACATAAATGTTATAAATTATTGTTACAAAGTTACTTATTATGGAAGATAACATTCATAAACATTAATTACAATTTCAATTCTTATAATGCGAATGTGAAAGGAATATTTAATAATGTTAATTGATCTTGATTAGTATATCCAATTATCTCAGGGAAGATAGCTTTCATGATTCAATCCATCTAATGGACAAGTGAACGAAATACAATCTTAAATTCTTAATACTTTAATTACTTAAGTTATATGAAGTTGGGATAATGTTTTAACAATTGATTGTTCATACAAAACTAGTACTTGGAACTTTCTTGGAATTTTTCTAGTGAAGTCATTTGTTCATACATATTGTAGTAGGAGCTTTTCTAGTGAATTCATAGATTATGGGATTGTTTGGTAATCGACAGTTGACTGTTGGCTTGCTTAACTAGTTGGAAGTATTAGCCGTAAGGATTGGCTTTTTAAGCTAGTTGTTTAAACCAGCTGTTTACAAAAGTGTTTGGTAAAATTATTTGTGGTTGTTAGCTGTTTATTAGTGATAAAGTGAGCTAACAAGCCAAAAGCCATAGAAAAAGCTACTCCTATTAGCTTTTGGCGTAAAAGCCAGCTTAAAAGCCATCAAAAAAACCAACCACCAAACATATTTTTTGACTGTTTGACCAAACTAAAAAGCCAAAAACCAAAAGGTAAACAAAAAGTCAATTGCTTAACACCCCGTCGTTTTTTACAATTAAATGTTGGGGCAAGAAATCCTATTTTCTTATGTACTCTTATGCTGTTAGGGTGCGCGTTTGGTTAGAAAACTATTGTATACACTTTCCCTATCCAATGCCGCGATAGACAATTAGATATGAAGTGGTCTGTTATCCTTCTAAACTTTGATATCAAACTACTAAATCACAACTATTGCTTACGAGTATGTAATGCAACATTGGATGTTAAATTTGGTTATTGCACTCGCCTGCAGCAAAATTTACATTAGCATAAATGTGACTACAAAATACTTGAACCCCCACCTCCCCTTAAGGTAAAAGATTGAAAAAGAAACTGCAGAGTGCGTCGTGTGCCTTAGGCATCCTCCTTTCCAGTTATGTACACCAGTTCAATTAGGCAACAAGTTGTTATTCGACTTTGGGCTCTTTGGTAACCAGAAAACTTCGTGCTGCTTCATCTGCCACATCACTGCAAAGAGACAATAAATTGGATGTAAATCTACAATGTGAAGGTCACAATATATGTATAATGATAAAAGATGATGATGATGTTAAAGGCAAAAGGTTAAGGTTGCTAGCAGGAAGAATGCTAATCAAACCTGTCTACGGCTTCTGATTTTGTGATTAATGTCATCCCTTTTAAGTCAAGGAGCTCATGAAAATCATTCAGGCCATGCTCCTTGCAAAATTTACAAAGATACTGTAGATAATCGTTGAATTGTTTCGGTTCCTACAATAAATAAACTTTATGATTCAAAACAAGCTGGTGGTCATCCAAACTTCAGTAAAGCAAAATCCAAGCAATAAATACTGTGAAACACATTGATGTTATTTCAATTGTCACGTCCAAATGTGACAAAATGAGAGGCACACAAATAAAAAAAAAATAATAATAATAAAAAAAAAAAAAAAAAAAAAAAAAAGACTACAGCTAATTTGCAATGGAAAGTTCAGAGGCATACTTGTTCAAGGACACAGCCTTTTCGGAGGGCAACGAGACACTCTACAGCTTTGTCATAGTTACTTCCTCCAAATGAGTCCTCTAACAGTTCAAGAATTTTGCTTCGCATACCTTTGATTGCTTTAGTTATCCAATCTGGGCTATCTCTGCGAGATAACATAGCTTCAAAATCCTGGACTGAGGTAATGTTCCCAATCTTCTCAACACTGACAGAAGAATTATTTGCCAGAGCACTGGATGGTTTCTCATCACTGATCTCAGCCTTACCTGCAGTATTATCATCGGTGTTCGTTAATGTTTTCCCCACATTATGGTCTTCTGCAGCATCTTTCTCATCATCTGACCCAGATGGCTTCTCTTTGACAGACCTAGTTGATTTCTTCTTCTGTTAAAGTAGGAAAAGTTAGTGCCTGCATAAACAGTGACAATATTACGAAGAGCATGTAAGACAGATCTCCCACCGTAGAGTTCTCCTTTAATTCAAAGCATCTTCGAAATTCATCAATGACAGACTTGTTTTGAGATAGTAATTCTGCATCAGGCTCAGTTATTTTTTTCAAGGCTTCATCAAGTAGAGGCACAGCAGCATCTGGGTCTTTTGCTTTTAGTTCAAGAAAGTGATAAAACCGCTGCATAGACATAAGATAGCTAGCCAGTCAGAGAATCTTATTAATCAATGATGTAATACAGTCAATACAACTTACCATCAAGAGATTAGATAGCTCAGTCCTTAAGACAGAAATTCAGCACACTGCCTTTACAGTTTTAGGTCATCTATTATGGCTAATCCTTCCCAGTCCTCTCAACCCTCTCTGATAATTTCGGAAGGGTATCTATTTCAATGTAGCTAATCAAGAAAGGAGAAGAGATAGCCATAACAGTTAGCATTCACCTAGATAATAATCATGCCAGCAAATGATCTTCATTTGCAACAAGCACTACCAGATTATTAGTGTCTAATCAATCAATCATTCAACAATATAAAGATAAGCCCCTTAATTTTTCTATCATCAAAATAAAGCCATAGGCACAGTCCCTTTAATCAATTGACCATGCTGAACATTCATTTATATCCCTTCCACATGAATATGTATAGGACTAGAGGTGTAAAAAATTGACCCAACCCGATCCGATCAGGCCCGAAAATACCCGATTCAGGTTTCGACTTGCATGGACACAATAATTTAGCAGGACTCAACTTTGAAATACACCCGACCAGACCTCACCAAACCCAGCCCGAGTACCCGAATTGACACCACTATATAGGACCAGCTCGGGAAGAATGAATTACTTTCCAAACACATCACTGGTTGAGTCAGAGGGCCACACATCACTCGTTTCTATTATTATTTCATATAATTTTTTTTAAAAAGGATAACAACCAAATTTAAATATGTCAAGAAACTGAACAAGTAATTTAATAAAAAGATAAAATAGAAGTAAATAAAACTGTAAGAGTACTGCAATATTATTCAGGTCTGATAACCCTTGTGAAAAACATAAGATCCGTGATTCAGTAATGATGCACTAATCCCCTCAACCTCCATCCACAAAACACATATTATATGGCATGAATAGACAAAACTATAACAAAGTACCTCGAGAACAGGATTTGGTGTGAGGTCCGGCTTTAAGTTCTCCTCTTTGGCAGGTGGTGCAAGGTCAAGCATCATTACTAGATTATCAGCAGCTGCCTGCTGTTCTTCGGTTGGCTGAAATGTTGGGAGATTTTTGAAAGAAGGAAATTGGAACTCTCGAAGATCCTCAATAAACGGGAGTACATTGAAGTACAATGAATCAGGCTTCTCACATAGCACATACAAAAACACACAAAAAGGCGGGGAAAAATAAGACAGTAAAGTTAAAAAAAAAAAAAAAATTAAAAATTCTTAGGATAAATTAATAAAGAGCAGAATCTGCAGGTAAACGAATATAGATGTGAAACTGGAAGGGAAGACTTACAATATTTTCCTTCACAGATACATTTGGTGTCAAGACTCCAATCACAACACCTGACTGTCCTTGCCTCCAAACACAGCGAACTATGGCAACCTTGTTCATTTCCTTCATCGCTCTAGCTAATGCAGAAATTGCAGTAACAGCTTCTCTCTTGCCAGGTTCAGCAATGAATATATTGACATCTTTCATGTAATATTGGCTGTTAACATGAAAATTAGAGATTCAATTGTTGATTTTTTTTTTTTTTTTCTTTTGCTTCTTCTAAAAGGCAACAGAAGATTGCAAATCCAGCTTAAACTAAATATTCCTCACCGTAGTATGTTTTTAGCATCAGTAAATCCTAGGAGCTTCACACTCTTCTCTGGTTTGAATTTGACAGCTTCCCATGCATCAGATGATACGGGAACCACTTCTGGTCCATAACGATAACCCTTGATCCTTTGCTCTGGAGGCACAACTGTTTCAGGGTCGTTAATGCTTCTATATTCATAGTCCACCTTGATTTCACGGGTGGCAAATTTATCAGTTGCAGGTGCTTTAGGGTAGGAAATTTTTCTTCAGAAGTTTTCTTGTATACCCAGACCTATTGTTTATTGTTGTCAAGTAATTGGGAAAAAATAAAAGTCAAATTCTAACTTTTTGTGCAAAAGATTACAAACTATAGAGAACAATATCTAACTGCATTCAACCATACCATGAAAGATTATGTAATATACCTTAATCTTCAGTGCAGAGCTCACTTCAAGATCACCCCTGAATATTGTAACAGGGGCTATGCTCCGAGTCCTGAGTGCTCTTAACAACGAAGTTGCACTTTCAACATAAAGAGTCTTTGCCCAAGTTCTCTTTGTGAAAAGTTCTAATAGTTGGTCATTCTCATCCATAACGTTCTTATCAGCATCACCACTTAGCTTCCCTCTAACTACTACACATTCCAATTTTATAGCCTGCTCAGTCATTTGCTGAGCAATAGTGCTGACCTGATCTTCTTTTGTGCCTTCATATGGATCTCTCAGACAAGAGAGTGCATTAGTGATTAGGCAAAGGCGTTTCTTTCCCTTGTTAGTTGGTCCATACTTCTTTATTAGCATATCCATACCAACAATAATTGCATCAAGAACTAACAATAAAGTCAAGGCCTCAAACATATAATCAAAAGAATGTATGTAACAACAGCACTTATACAATCAGTTATAATTTACAACAAAGCAAAGAAAATAAACTATAGTCTACTGACTCTATCCTAATTCCTAAGTGCAACAACAGCTGAGAACAACTACATTTGCTCCAGTCAGGTGTGATCAGTTTATATATCTCTGCATCACTGAGAGAAATCAAGAAGTAGAGTCTAGGTATTGACAAAACCTCCTACCCCAGGGGCCAATCAAACTGGTTCGAGAGTACAGGGAGTAAAATGACAAATTTGGGTGAAGAAACAAGGACAAAATAGTCATATATTATCAATCATCAATAAAAATTAACCATCCTTGTCACTAGGGATTGACGAATTTCTCCATTTAGATTCGTCGTTAGGTACCTATCACAAGTCCCTGACTATTGCAACTGAGGGAGCAGATGCAGAAGGTTGATTTGGCAGCGAAACTAACAGAAAGGACAAGAACGCATAGGCAGAAAAGAGGAGTAAAGTCAATTAAACTAAGTCAAATATATAGGAAAAGGTATTTTGTGAAAAGATTTCTGAAGAACCAGTCAAACCCTTCAAAAACTTAGAACCAAGCATAAAACTCAGAGCACAAAAAAAAAAAAAAAAAAAAAAAAAAAAAAAAAAAAAAAATTCATGAAAGATACAATCACCAGGAACCGTTCCTCGTGGAATCTGATCCAGTACATCAACCAGATCTCCATCTACAACTTTTATACTTCTCAGAACCACAATGTTTTCATATCCGCCAACTTCTTTAGTGAGCTCATTGTTTGTTTCTGAAATTCAAATTCAATGACTCGTCAATGAAACAATATATAGGTTTTCAATAAGCACAGAGCAAAAACATACAAGGCAATAAAGTGAAATACTGAAGAGTAATTTGTTGCACAAAGTCCTTGTCCCTTATATAATCATCTTGTTTCCTCTATAATATGCCCTAACTTACCTTTTTTTTTTTAATTCAAATTTCAACAAAGACACCACTGACAAGATTACAGAATATACCAAGTATACTAACATTATCAAAGCACAAAAGCTGTTTACACATTACATAGATCAGTTTTGCATGTTGGATTGTTGGGTAGTCGGGACATGTACGTTCGTGATGTATTGTGACCAATGAAAAGGGTTATTAAAGAGTTTCTAGGTGATTATTTTAGCAAACAATGGAGTATATCCCCATTCAGGCACATTTTGAATGAGCCCAAGCTAGCCTGTTTCTAAGGTTACTTCAGTTTGCAATGAAGTCAAGATAGATGTTCCTATATAGGCCATGTGTGTTGTGGCCATAATTCAAAACAGACTATTGGCCCAATACCCAAAAGGAATCTCTCACCTAGGGGGCTAGGGTAAGGTAGAGGATGTCAATTGGACATAGCATTGCTGTACTACCGCAAAGATGTTTCTAATAGACTTGACCCGAAAAAGCATTCAATAGTCTACTATTACGGAGCAAACAAGAAAAAGGATGCAAAGTAAGGTGGTAAATGTAAGATGTGTAAATTACCTAAAGCAGAAGTTTAGGGGCAATAAACAAACAACATTCACACGAGCATGAACTATTGCATAACATGAGAGTGATGAGACAATATAAATATTTTCCAGATTTATTTCTCTTTTATCATCCGAAGATATATCAAATCCCACCTTACTCGTAGAAAACAGCTCACCTTTAAGATCACATATGTAGTATGCACTATGCAGAAGTAAAAAGAATTATGAATGTATAATAAGAAAGTGTAAGATAAGATACCTGCAGTTCCAAATAAGACAATTCCCACTTCATCATATTTGTTATAAATCAGCTGCAGACACAGTAAATTAAGTCTTCAGACCATGCTTTGGTACTATATTATTCCATTCAATAATAGTCAGTTTACAGGATTCCAAAAGCACATCATCACAAAAAACATGATCAGTAATTGGAGAATGTACAACGAAACATTAAGATACAAGAAAATCCTTTGAATAGTAAAAGGGGGTGATGGTCAGATGGAAGAGTGTAGAGTAATGACATATTAACCTTCTTCTCCAAAAGCATGGCACAAACTTTCTCAACTTGTAGGAGAACACCATGCATTTTTGGACCAACATCAAGCAATAGGACCAGTGATTCCTGTCATCGAAAAGGTAAACAACTGTTTAATCATGAAAGCATTATCAGTAGCTAGCAAATTCAAATATTATATAACGCTGTCTAAACTACTTCCTCTCACACCAAACTGACCAAAGCACTGACAATAATTACTTTGTATTTTCCTAAAATGTAGCAAAGAATTAGACCGGCGAGAACTGGGAACAAAATGTGATTCTTCCTGAGATTTACGTCTTTGTACTCATAAGAAATGCTAAACATCTCCTCGTAGTCATCCATAAGATACTTTCTCCATATCCAAGGTGTCTTGTTCACCGTGAACACATGAGTCAACCTCCCTATAAGCTTCACTACCTCCAATTCAGTTCACAATCAATATGAACAATGTTATCTTCAGCTTTTTATTTCCGGGTTGGGGAACGCATCATGACAATCCGGTATAATTCGGGTAACACGAATGTTCAATTGATCAGTCCTCAAACAGATGAATCAAACAAACCTCACATAACAACACGCCTATCCATCCTACCCTCTAAATAAAATCAAGCAAACAACTTTGAGCTTATGTTAACTCAATTCAACCTCACTAGGGCATAAACTCCATAAAACAGCATCGTCAAATTTCAAATTTTACAAGTAAAATCCAAAATTAGCATATTCTTCGTACCAAAATTATAGCACATTCTTGCAACAGATTAAATTAATTACAAAACCTCAAATTTGCTATTATTCATGTTTTCAGTAATTCATTCACAAAATTAAACAATATTCACATAAAAAAAAAAAAATTTAAAAATATCTTGAAAAGTGGATATCAATAGTACAGATGATGAAATTCAGTTAATATTAAGCTGAAAAAACTACTTCCAAAAACAGCAACAAAAACCCTTAAAATCGTCAAAATTGAAATTGAGAAGTAAATGGAAAGGAATTACCTTGTTGCGCGCCATCGTTAATTGAGAAAAGAGAGAGAATTTCAGAAATGTTGATTGAGGAGATGAGAGAGATTGCTGAAGACGCTTCAATGTGCCATGAAAACACGGAGACTTTTGAGATACTACACTTTTCTCAGAATTTTGCCGCTTAAAAAAGTACCACCTGGGCAAAAATTTGCAATTTCCGATTATGTCCCACATTTTAAAATATGGTCGCTCGTTCGAAATTAGAAGTCACATTGTTTTGAGTTTTCGACTAGTCAAGCTCAACACTTTGGGCTTGTTATTTTGTAAGGTTGACAAATATTTTTTTTTTTTTTTGTTTATTTTTTTACAGTAGTGTTTAACTAAAGTATGGGTAGCGAATTTTTCAAGTGTGGTGGAGGATATTATAGCTTCCGATAATTGCTTTTTTTTTTTTTTTTTTTTTTTAGTTAAAGTCTAGATTATATCCATCAAAAAATAAAATTAAAGTATTACTCAATTATCACTCCCTTCAACTCTCAGTGTTGTTTTTGTTTTAAGAGTAATTAGATTAGTGCCCATGCAATGCACGGGTATAATAATCTTTTTCCCATAATTAATTGCGAATACAATAATGAGGCAACTCAGGTAGAATAAACAAATGCAACGCATATTGAAAAATAAAATAATAAGACAAAAATTATTAAAACCATGATTGAGAAAAAAATATATATTGTTGATTAGTTGTGTTGAAAATATTTAAAAGTAGTATACCATATATTACATTAATGGTGCATATTATTTTCCAATAAAACGATACAATCTAGTGACTATATGACTAAAGACTTATTAATAAATGCTTTTTAATAAACATGAAAATATTACTCAAACAACAAAATAAAATCTACAATAAAACTATTAGCACAAGATATATGTAAATATATAAATTACAAATAATATATCACATACAAAGTATAATTGTTAACTTAATCTTACAAAATTTAATTTATACTTCATATTAAAATTATCTTAACTTAATCTTACAAAATTTAATTTATACTTCATATTAAAATTATCTTAACTTAATCTTACAAAAAAATTTCAATTCAATTTATACTTCAAATTAGAAATATATTAACTTAATCTTACAAAATAACATTACACATACAAAGTATAATTGTTATCACTCACTACACTTTTTTAAAGTGTTACACTATTTTGTATTTTCATTTTTATTTAAGCGCTACGCTTCCTTATCTTTGGTAAATTAACTATCATTGAATTAAAGAGTATAAAATATTATTATTGTAGTAAGTTGCTTATTTATTTAAAAACTAATTTAATTTTAATAATATACAACTTTATAAAATATTTTTTTGTTAAATCCGTGCATCGCACATGTGCTTATATAATGTTCCATCTAAAACATGTTCAGGCGGTAATAATAGTATATTGTACCTAAATCAGTGGCTCACTTTTTCTATAATTAAGAAAGAGTTGGAATAATATTTTAGGTTAATGTGTTTGGAAGAAATAAGAATACAAAATAAAAAGAAATACATTTTATGTAAAGATAATATATAAGATTTAGAATAATATTATTATAGTTATATTATACAAATATTCTGAAAAATAAAAGATTTTTTTCCTAAAAGGGGAGGGGGAGTTTTGGAGGGAAAATACAGCATCAGGAAGCGACGCGTGTCATTTCCGGTGTCTGTCTTAGTATTATGCTATTGATTGATTATTGATTGATTCTCTCATTACCCAAACAAAAAAGTCAAAACAGAACAAATACATAGAGATGGAAATAGTAATACCCTAAATCAACATATAATTTCAGTTTTTTTAATAATTTTCAAAATATATTAATGATAAAAATCGTGTGTTAACCTTTTCTCCGAAAAAAAAAACATGTGTTAGCCAACGTGTCGAATCAAAACAATACGAACCTTGTTTATTTACACAAATGCTTCTTTGGGCATAGGTCCTTGGGACTTTATTCACCCACCAAAACAACCCAAACTCCAAAACATCTCAACAACACAAACTTCTCAAAGAGAGAGAGACGCACACATCAGGAAAGGAGCTTGAAGCTTAAACCAATGGCATCAATGGCATATTCAATCAGCTACCATTTCACCCACAAAAACATCATTCAACAACAAAACACCCATCATTTTATAAACCCCTCTCTAAAACTCAGCATCCTTTCTTGTCAACAAGAACAACAAATAAAGCCTAATGCCCCAATTAATCGAAGGGAAATCATACTAAGAAGCAGTGAATTTTCTACACTTGCAGCAATCTTCCATTTCAGGTCTTCCTCAAAATTTACTCTCGTAATTATCTGCTTATAATTTGTATTTGAAATTGATTCTCAGATTTAAATCCATGTTTTAATGATACTTTGTTGTTGGTTCTAAAATTGATTAGTGGAACAAAACCAGAATATTTGGGAGTGCAAAAGAATCCACCTTCATTAGCCTTATGCCCTGCAACTAAAAATTGTCTTTCCACTTCTGAAAACTCATCTGACACTTCCCATTATGCCCCTCCTTGGTAAGTTTGCTTTTTTTTTTTTTTTTTTTTTTCTTTTAATATAGTTTTCCTGCAATTTTTGAGTTTTATCTTTGAGCTGAATCATCTTACAGATTGCATTTTATTTGGGTCCTCTCATATCTGCACAGTGAATATTGTAGGTTAGGTGGGTTTGGGTTAGTCTAGCTTGTAAGCTATTCCCTTTGTCAAGAATTAGTTGTCACATTGATTTTATGACTTGAACTAGTCATGTGACAACTAAATTTGGACGCATTGACATTGTAACATGAACTAGCTATGTGACAACTGAATTTGGATGCATTGACATTATAACTTGAACTAGTTATGTGACAACTGAATTGGACATGGGTGGTGATTTGTAAAGCATATATATATATCCCTAGATTGTAACACACATGAGTTTTATTGCTACTTTACTAGTAAGAATGTAGGATAAAATTTATTCATAAGGGGTAGGAGTGGCATAAGATTTGAGAAAGATGGTAATTTTGGTGCAATTTGGTTGATTAGTAAGTCATTCAAGGATTTGTTAATGTAGCAAAGATATTTTCCTAGGTTTTTTTAGTTAGATAATAATATTGGGACTTTTTTTTATCATATGCAACTAACAGGAACTACAACCCTGAAGAAGGGAGGGGGAGCAAGAAACCTGTGAGTAGAGAAGTGGCAATGCAGGAGCTTCTTGCAGTCGTAAGGTTTCTTTACAAAACAGTCCATGAAAAACTGCTGGCGTTTTACTTGGTAAATCAACTATTGATCACTATATTTGCAGATTAAATCAACAAGGCCGGAGAAATTTACACCAAGGATCACGGAGAAGAAAGACGATTATGTGCGTGCGGAATATGAAAGTCCCATAATGGGGGTATGTTATAAGCACAAATACGTAGAATTGCTAAATAATCTAAGCATGGGAACTGAAATTGACTTGCAGTACATGTGCTTACATTTGTGTAGTTTGTTGATGATGTTGAGTTCTGGTTTCCTCCGGGGAAGAAGTCAATTGTGCAGTATCGTTCTGCATCTCGTTTAGGGAGTTTTGATTTCGATATGAATCGAAAAAGAATCAAGGTAAAAATTCATATCATTGTGTAGTTAGTTTCAGATTTCATTTTAGTTTTGGTTTAGTTGATCTTGCACTTCTGGATGGTTCCTGATGAATGGTTGTTGATGCAGGCATTAAGGCAAGAGCTGGAGAAGAAAGGATGGGGTTCAGAAAATACTTACTAGCCATAGTTCATGAAGTCTTAATGTATGTGGGAGAATCAGTTCTTCACTTAGTGATTCGATTCCATTTCCCTTTACTAACAATCACGAAGTATTAAAGATAAAAATGCCCTAGTGGATTCTATCTGATTTTTTCTGTCAAGTAACACTTCCAAACTGACTCTAATAAAACCTGCTTCTTGGGTCCTTTCCAACCTGTATTTGTTTTCTAAAAACTGAGTCCTCTGGAGAACTGCCTTGATAGTAAAATCAAATGCATCATCTATTGTTCCAACTTATGACGTACATATATGATACTTGAAATCAGCCTCAATACCTCCTCTCTCATAACTAGTTTTCACAGCATCCTAAAAAATTTGCTGCAGAACCTCTTCAACACTTACAGACGTTACAGTCCCAATTTTTTTATGCCCTCCATCATTATGCATGATAACTGAATGACTGGTGTAGCATTAGACAAGTGCCAGAAGTATATACTGTAATACAACTGATCCTGGGAGAAAGAAAACAGGAATACAGCCTGCCAAAGTTTGAATGAAAAGTGGAACGCCTTGTGTCTGAATCTGCAGGGGGTTGCTGACAGAAAACAGACATCATATATTCATATATGCCTTGATGATATGATGTGGGCTGTTGCAGTTACCAGTTTGCAATGATTTCCTGAGGCATTCTTACACTGACTGATATGCTCCCTTCAGACAGAGTACATATGAGAGTGTGGCCCCTGCAAGTGAAGATAGAGCTCTTCTCGTCCTTCTCACCCCTTATGCCACTGTAACACCTCATTGTCATTTGAGGGTTTGAAATAAGTTATGGCACCGCAAAATCATTGTTGGCTTTAGGGCTCGAATCTACTATTTGCAACATCATGTTCTTGGCTTTGGACAAATTCATGAGCTTGATTGTAGTGCATCAGGTATAGCAGAAGGGACACTAGGTAATGCCATTAAATCAGTTGGAGTTAGCTTGGGTACGGGAGCAATGAGTTTGTCAGAGGGAAAGAAGTCAGAAGGTTATGTATAGAGTGATCAGCTAGGAAGGAGATAAGCAGAAATTGGCTGTGATTTATTGACTTTGTTTTGGGAGTGTCCAGCCACCCGAAGGCCTGGAGTTGTAATCTCCTTATTGATGATGTAATTGCATTGCTATACAACCATTTATCAATTTCCCCCAAATTTACTTCATCCTCAGCTCTACAAATCTGAATTTTCAGTCCTGTGTAGTGTTTAGATGATTATCGAGTTTTTATTTCCACTGGCCAATAGGTCTCATGGTGAAGTATTGTGCTGCATCGTGTTTCGGCAACTTCTTTGGGTGTCAATAGAAAAAAAATTTGAAGGTGAGCTGTTTCAGATCCCATAATATAGCAGTTTTGATTAAATGGTGGTGACTGTGGGCAACTAGGCATAAAGGCAAGAACTGGAAAAAATTCAACAAAAGGACTGGCCTCGGAGATTACTTATTAACCGTGGTCCGTTGCTCATAAAGTCTTATTGTAGATTTGTAGGGATTACATTATATTATTTCCCTTACAAATCAACTGCTATAGTAAAATAGAGATTATTGAAAAGAAATAGGCCAAAATATTACAAAGTAAATATGATTGTATACCCTCATCTGGACTCAACTTCACTGCTTGCTTCTGAAGAATGAATCCCATTCATGTTTTTCGACTTTTCCTGTCAAGTAATATTTCCAAGTCGACTTCTCTGGGAACCTGCTTCTTGGGTCCTTCCCTTCTTGAATTTGTCTCCTAACATCCTCAATTCTCTTAAGGACTCCCTTGACAGTGATATCAAATGCATCTTCAGTTTTCAATTTATGGCGAGCATATATGATACTTGGAATCAGCCCTATTACCTTCTCTCTCATAGTTGTCACAACTTCTTGAGGAATCTGATGCAGAACCTCCTCGACATGAATCGTCCCATTCTGTATCCCCTCCATTGGTATGAAAACCGAATAGCTCGTGTAATTCTTAGGCAAATGCCAAAAATATTGGATGTAAGCTGATCCTGGATGAAAGAAAACAGGAATACAACCGGTCAAGATTGCATCAAAAGTGGAACGCCTTGTGTCTGAGTCCCCTGTAGGCTGCAGGCAGAAATCAGACATCAAAAAGGCCTTGATAATATTTGCAGGGTTGTTGCAATTGTCTTTATTTTTCGGAATGCAGCTAACCAATTTGCATTGATTTCTTGGTGCATTCTTACATTGACGGATAAGTTCGCCTCGGATTGAGCCTTTATAAGAGCGTGTTGCCCCTGCAAAAGGTGAGCTCTTTTTGTCTTCCTTACTTTTTCCTGCCACTGTAATACCTCACTGTCATTCGAGGGGTGGAAATCTGTTGGGTATGGGACTGCAAAATCATTGTTGGCGTAGGGGCTTGCTTCTACTGTTATCATCGTCATGTTCTTGGTTTGGGGCAAATTCATGAGCTTGCTACCCCAGTTGGGACCAATGTAGGTTGGCCTCCTTAAATCCCAAGTGACCCTCCCAGAAACAAAGAAGTGATCCCAACCAAACATGCGTGCCCACTCAGGTTTTCCCCTTAGCCAGTTTGTAAAATCCAAGGCTCCCGCGTCCTTGATTGATGAGCTAAACCCTCCCCATAGATGCCGGGTTACCTCTAGCCCAGCGTAAAAGGGTGCATAGATAGCCGAGGCTAAAGATGAGTTATCAGTTAAGCACTCGTATTGCTTCATCCTACTGTGGAATATCATCTCCAAGATAGACTGCGTAGTTGCATACCAACTTTCCCCTGACATCACACTTTCAGAATCCTCTGTACTGGCGTTAAGCTTTAGCTGAGAGCCAAAACCTCCATTTTCCACATATGGGCATAAATTGAACTGTTTTCTGAGTGTCTTGACATTTTGTCACCAAGTCTTGGTTAAATCTGGAAGGGAGATCATGCATGTATATGTAACGACCCGAGCAAGGATCTTGTTGTTGCCAACTAGATTCAGGTTTTTCTGCAGCTGCAGAAATCCTTGCATTAAGGTCTTTGCTCTGCCTGATTGCAGTTGCATAGGATGAGATATATGCAAAGTCAGGCAGCGAAAAGCGCAGCAATAAGAAGCCTAGAGCAGCAGCAACAACAATGCAGAAATACTTTTGACAATATCTGAAAACCATTGTCTCCATAATCAAGGTTTTGAAGGACAACTTTCAGTAAGGGATAGAACTTTGGTAGAAGTCAACTGAGTTATGGTCTTATTGCTACACAGTTCCATAAGGGGACTTTGGGATTACGTTAATGAAGTTCATAACATGTTATATGATTTTACTCATTTCATGATAAAATATTCAGAAAACATGTAGAATTTTATGTAAGGACAAAAAGAGTGCGAGTACTGAGGACAATACCACTATATCCTTCATTCCTAAGAATTCTTTGAAGGGAGTGCAAGCATATAATTATGTAAATAATTTTATGTATAATGTTAGCCTTAATATATCTCTAGAAATCAGTGTAATTAATAGTGATTGATTTCGTAATTAACTGTAATCTTGTAACTGACTCTCCTTACACCCTAGATGGCAATCATCGCATATCTTAGAGTTGAAATGAGATATTGTATCAATAGGATAAGGGTTGGTAAGAGGAAGGACAGTAATCTTGTATTCCTTATATAGATGACACTATGTTGTACTTTCTCCATTCTAGTAATATTGCAACAATTGGATTTTTGTACTATTTATCACTCTTTTTGACCATATAATATGATTTATACATTAAGCATTATATAATCATATGTGATCTTGTTAGATTCGTCTCATAAAATACTTTCACAATATCAATTTTTTATATTTTTTATTCTTATATACAATATAGATATTTAACATATAAAATATGGTTTGGGATGTGTGATTCCATCCTTGTTGTAATAAATTGGAACGGAGGAAGTAACATATACTTGTATCCAAAATGTCAAAGGTCACAATATATTCGACAAAAAGAGGTGTCACAAATTTTATGTGGTAAGATGATGTGACAAGTAATGAAATGAAAAGAAATTTTTTTAAAAAAAGAAAAGAAAATATAACAGAGTATACAATAGGAAATTAGAGATTTCTAACATAAATGAATGATTGAATAAAAAAATGGTTAAGAAAATAGTATATCATTAATTGCATGTATACTTACTTGTTTCGAATCTATTCTTACAGGGAGATATACCTATAAACTTGGGAATTACGTTTCATTTCATTTGACATTTCTAGCTTAAAATATTGGATTATACTTTCTTATTGATGGAGTTTGCACCTGGCTTTCAACAATCAACACACCAATAAACACTCAACTATACAATAAGTTTTAAAAATAAAGGTGCTTGCTTAGATTGGGTTGGATTGTAATTGCTTGTTAAGGAAAGGTGAAACATGTCTAAATTTTTAAGTCATAGTCATTGTTTGGGGAACCAAGGAGTGAGGAAACAAAAGTAAATCCGCCCTCCAAGGAAACAGAAGAAACGTAGGGGAAGACGGGACTGTTGGACAGGAATGGCAATGTTGAAGCTTCATCATAGTAGTCATTTGATGGAAACGATTGATTCGCAAAGTTTCAAACTAGGCCTAAGGTCATACCCCCATGTAACTATACTTACTGGCTCGCTCTGCTAAGTGACCGTATCAGTTCTTTCGTTTCAACTATCAAGCAACAGGGATACAAAATAAGAGTGAAACTAACCATCTAGGCATCTACCAATATTATATAACCTTATTGTGACTAGGTAGATGGTCTATATGCCCTAATGCAATAGTAATACCAATATGGATTTCAGAGAAGAGTTGGTAAACAATCGTTCTTGAACATGTGCCATATATAATCCATTGCACTTGCACATCTTTTTCTCTGCTCTGTTCTCCACATATATCAAAAGTTAACATGCAAAATTTAAGATCAAAGCTGCTTTCAAATAAATTATCGGAAAGAAATAGCCCAAAAGAGCACATGGAAATAATTTTGATTGTACGCATAATACTTCCTGGCAAAGCTAGTTCCACCTACGGTTTCAGATAACAAGAGAAGAGAGTGTCTGTTCCAAACTTATCATCATTTGCTGCTACAAACATGTTTTCACTAACAATGCTTCAATTTCATCAACGAAACCACTCAATGTAATAATGACATTCTTGGAATACAGCTTAATCTTCTCTGAGTTCCATGTATTCTCGACGAAGACCTTCCTTGTTGAGAACCACTATTTCCAGCTTGTCACCCTGCCCAAACAAAATTACAGTCAGTACAGACTATTAAAGCAAACTGCATACATCCCAATTTTTCATAAGCAATCCTGTAATCCAAACATAGTTAACTTTGGGTTATTTCTCTAAGGAAGTACCAGGGGAGGGGGGTGCATATGTAAGCACAAAGCACTGTTTGCATCCAGGGGTAATAGACTTTCCATGGAATTCTTTGGCAGAAAATCATTCTACCACTGCTACTATAACAGAATATCATGATTTATGAGACACGAAAGAAAAAATCTCCAAGCAGAAATTTCAAAATTATTAGAAGAGGTGATTTAAATTTTAAACTCTTAAAGCATTTCGAAAGTCATCTCCCACAAGAACTACAAAGCACTTCAGAGGAAAATACGTAGTAATATAAAGATTGACGAGTAAAAACTTACAGTGTAAATGTCCCTCTCAGTTGCAGATGCAAAAGCAGTTCTAACCAAATCTATTGCTTCTAATTCTGACAGTGGTGTCACAGCATCCTGCATAAGCCAGTGTTTCTAGTCAGCTAAGATTGCCACTTAAAAGGAGCAGAAAGTACAGAGAAAATAGAGATAACTTTCTGCAGATACCCTGCAAAATCAACAACATACCTGTGCAGGTAGTAGAAGGGGACTAGGAGACTTTAACTGGTTGTCCAGGAAAGGCATGATAAGCTTCGCACCAGAACCCTGGGAGCTGTATCCAACCTTCTCATATGACCCCACCGCATCATATGTAAATACACACCCCTTGCCTGAAGCATTAAACAAGTAAGACACATAGTTAACATATATTTCATTAGGTAACCTTTTTTTTTTTTTCTTTTTTTTTTTTGGTTTCAGTAAAGTAAACATGTACGAACATAAAGGAGCAAAATGATGATTTGCGAGCTACCTTCACTGTCAAGGCCACCCAATACATTGAAAGCGTAATAAGGGAAGAAACGTTTATAGTAGAGTGTGTTTGAAAGGAGCTGAGCCATAGCAGGGCAGCTCATCTGTTTGTTGTGTTGATGTTGATAGATCTGGGCACAAACAGAAGAAAGTTTAATAAAGAAACCAATAGTCTAACAAGAATATTCAAATTTTTAAATATCAGCTATAATTCATATTGGTTCAATTTCTATTTCATATTCAGTTTATAACATACCAGTTATAGATTCATAGATCAAAGCTCAATATCAAAATTAAGGGGTAGTGACAATTTTTTTACAAAAAATTATTGGAATATTGGTCATTTCCAATTGAGAAAAAGATCACCATTCTTTGAATTTTGTTTTGAAACAAACTACCTTATAATGGTTTGTGAAATTTGCTAGCTTTTTTTCTTATTAGAATGTAGCAATAGGTCATTTACATCAAACTCTCTATGTCACTCTCTTTATAATGTATGGGTCCACCAGAAATAGCCTCTCTATTACCCCAACAGTAATGCTGTGTACATCAAATTCTCTTTGTAACACATCTAAAGCAGAAACCTAAACAGGCAATCTATTAAACTAATTAGATAGGATCAGGATTAAAACTATGGGAGCAGCCTTTATCTATATTTTTATTTTTCAAATAGGATAATACTGGCTCCATTGAATAATTGCAACAATGCAACCACCAAAGTTCTGTGTTTCCATGTGAATAGAAAAAAACATAATAGATACCATTTCATAGTTTAACTAGGACTTCTCTTAACATATGTTTTATGAAAATTTTTATCTTATGAAATTGGCACCTAGCTAAAGATATTTCAATCTAGTGTCTACAGCCCCTAATTGTCATCACCTAATAATAATAGTGTTGAAGATCATTTTTCCCTTAAGAATACTACAAGAGTGAAGTAGCAAAATTCAACAAGCATACATTTTAACTTTTTGGAAGAAAAAATGTAATGGCATGTTCATCAGCAAAAAGAAAACAAAAGTATACAATCAAATATTGAGCAAAGTTGACAGTCACCATATTAGAGCTCAATGAAATCCATTTGTGAGTGGATAAAAAAAAAATCAAGCTTTGAAAAGCTTACCAGGTGCCTTGCTTCTAAATGCTTCTGTAAGGCCCTCACATCAGCTTGAAATCCAGATGAAGCCAATACACTTTTTTCAGCTCTGCAAGGTCAATGGAAACACGACTCAGAAGAAAAAAAAGATACAATTGGGGAGAGTAGGAGGGAATCAAATTAACGACAATTGACAGCCATCAGAACCATCTTTCATTGCTGAAGTAAAGGCACGCACATTGATGATCATATTTAACAGGAGAAGCAACAGAACAAAATATGCCCATTAATTTCTTCTCAAAATACATACACATGTAAACACAACCCCAGTAATCTTTTAGAAAATATTGGAAGGCAAAAGCAAGTTCACTCCTTCCTTTCCCTCCTCTTTCCATTATGATAGCTACTCAAATACATTGTTCATGAATGCACACCCCATCTCATCAAAACGCCAATAGCAGTGAACAAGTGAAACTTAACTAATTCTCTAAACAACACATTGAGCTAAAAGCTTCACATTATGCCGAACAATCAAAATCAGAACTACGGTGAAATAATACAAAACACAATTCACCATAAACAAACAACCCATTAAACCTAAATGGGTTCTAGGATAATTCCAATAAAATGGAACAATTATGCCACTTTCAAGCCCTTTTTCATTCCTAAAGCAAGAAATGGCCAACCCCTAATCAATTTCTTCAATTTCACAAGCCTTTTTCACACATCATACTAAAACCCTAATCATCAAACCACTAACTATACTAATCAATCACATTCCCCATCATACCAATCAACAAAAGCAATTCATATTCTCCAATCAAACAAATCAAAATCCAAAAACAGTAAATAAATTAAACTAAAAAGGGCAAAAAAAAAAAGAAAAAAAAAAGAGAAATTAAAAGAGAGAAAAAGTTACAGCTTGCAAATCTTGGAGTAATCACGAGTGAGAATGTTGTAGCCAGTTGACATACGAGTATCAGCAGCTATCACACAGTAATCTGCACCAGCTACTGCAACACATGTTCTGATTCATCCCAAAAACAATAAATTAATTCAAAAAATAGGGTAAAAAAGAGGAAAATTGAAGAATTCTGGGGAAGAGAAAGTGAATTACCCCCCATTGAAATCGTATGGAGACCAATTCGCGTGTTGCTTGGTCATGGTGAATCGTCGATCGGAAGAGAGAGAAAGTGAGGAGAGAGAAAGTGAGTGAGTGAGAGAGTTTAGGGCGAAGAAATGAAGTTTGGGAAGAGATTCAATTGAACAACTTTATTTTTTTTTTTTTTTTTCCTTTCTTTTTTATGCTTTTCGTTTAATAATTTGGGATTGTTGTTAAAATGCTTTTCTTTCTGCCCAAGATTCAAGAGTTGAGCTACGTGCCTACGTCGTCTGTCTTTAAGCAATTGGTCAAGTTTCTTCCTACTGTCTACTAGTAGTGTGCGGTGTACCCCATAACAAAAGGCACTCCGTATCATGTCAAATTTTATACGGTCTTTTTTAATCGCAACGTATTACAATATCTTTTGAAAAATTATAAATTAATTGCAATATTACTTTTACGCTTTAAATAATTGTGTATATATTTGGCTATTTGCCATGCTAGATTATTCCGTAATTTGCAAGGGTACTGGAGTCTGGAGACATATGTGCATTTATAATTCTCTTTACTCTAGATGAGCACACTTAAATATTTTGGATTATCAATAAGTATTGTGACTGGTTATTTAAAATTATTGACTAGAAAATTATTCATAATACCAATTTCGATAAGACAAGTAAAACGTCAAGTTGTAGTACCAATTACAACATAATTAACTTCTAATATCTTGATTTGTGCATAATTCCTACATAAAGAGTTATTCTTATTAGAGGAGCATATGAAAATGAAGCTATGATTGTTCTTTGTTGTTCATTCTTCAGTAAATATCTTAGATACACATACACTAACGAAAATTTTATTACGCCTGAACAATATTTATGTTAAAGAAGTTGGATTAAATGATTCAATTATCTGGGCACAGGTAACATCATGCATGAATCATGATTCTTCTATGTTTGCAATTGTGAATTTGTGATAAACTGTCTATAAGAGTAGGGCATTTAGCAACCATGTACTCCGTAATTGGTTTAACAATTTACGCGTAAATAATGCATAGGAGAAAGAACATGCAACAAAGTACAAGACTAATACACCAAGAAATTAACATGATAAACGTGGTAATCAAGGTTCACCCTATATTATAAGGTGCTTACAACCTTGTGATTTTCTATAAAAGAACATAGAGACAAGAACCACACCCACTAAAATCCTGCAAAACTAAAAAACCCAGTTTCCTAATGTAACTATAGCATGTAAAACATCAATACTAAGTTAGTCCATACAAAGCTCCGAATTTCAGAAAATGTGCACAAATTATAGTCAGGGGAAAACCCAGACTCAGACCGCCTTTTCATCTAATATATATTCCCTTCATGTGATTAGCTGATTAGCATACAAGTCAGACTACCAGCTGAGAACCTACATCCTGCATTGCAACCATCAACAAAGTCAGCAAATCATAACAAACATGCTCATGACTTGATGAATCCATAACGCAGGCTTATTCTCACTAGTTGACCAAGAATGAATTTTTCAGATTAAAACTCATTTTTGCTGATGACCTCTTTTGATATAACTGGTTTTAACAGATAAAAAATTATTTCAACTTAATATCGTCATCTAATGTTAAAGCGAGAAGATAAAGAGGAAGGTTCCTCAAAAAAAAAAAAAAAAAAAAAAAAAAGAAGATAAAGAGGAAGGTTGATATATTACCCTCCAGGCAAAGATATATTTATATCAGTGGGGGATGTCCTTCGTTCCTGCATAGAATGTGTGTTCGGCCAATTTTCTCGTGGATAAGATGCAATCGATGTAAGGTTCTGCATTGGGGCTACAGAATTATTATGATTGTGCCCCTGGCCATTACATGAGTCTTTCTCGGCAACATTAGGTGGAGGAAGGGCAGTTGTAATCGTAAAAGGAGTTGGTGCAGATGGTGTTTGTACTTGTACTTTGGGCTTCTTTGGTTTGAGCTCAGGCGGGTTAGTTGGTAAGAAACTCCCGACAATGACCTGATACAAGAAGAGAAAGCAAGCCTTGTTATGCCTGAAACAGTGTTTTAGAGTTTTTTCAGCTTATTTTTCTTATTGTTGGAAAATTCAGAAATGTTGTCAATAGATATCATCAGTTTCACCACAAGGTAAAAAAAAAATAAAAGAAAAGAAAAGAAAGAAATTTGGCCATGCAGAAGAGAGCATGTACATTACTGCAGAATGTTTACCTGAACCGGGCTAGCAGCAATCAGCAGTCCAGCAACACATCCTCCAACAACCTGACCATTTGGACTTGATAGAGAGACACTCAGCCCACCTGCTCTATATCTTGTACCTTCTCTCTCAGTAGGCGTGAAGGATCCACACAAGTTTACTATTTCAAAGCGTCCCTAAGACAAATAAAGGACACAGATCAGCTGAATGTAAGCTTATTTTAAAAAGGAAGGCACTTTTGGTGCAATATCAAAGTTGCATTGATATTGAACCAAAAGTAGATATTTTATATGCAGGTTGTATACTGGTGTATAGTGCAACTAATTAAAGATTATGCAATACTACGTCTAATGTGTTTTACTCCCCTTATCACTGTACTAATTTACTCCCCATATAAATTTTTGGAGCACATTGAGTAATATGTCAATAAATTAATAAGACAAGTAAATTACTATAGTTAAAAGAGCAAGCTTGATCATTGATATGGGGAGTAAAACACGTAAACAATTGTGGGTGTGTGCGAGGAAGAGAATATGCAAGTGAGTGACCATATTATCCATGTGTGTGAGTTTGACTGGTAAAATGCAAATCTTTCTCTGGTGATGAGACATAACTAACACAATTAGTTGATTCCTGCATGATTCACATAGTAAGATGATTTCTTCTGCCTCCCCTACCTAGATATAAACAATAGAAACTCATGGACCATATATAAAAAATGGAATCAATACTTAGGAATATATATTTACTGCTTACCTCATATGTCAATGTACCTCCAGAAGAATCAGATTGACGAAGTGTAGCATTTGATACCATTCCATTTGCTGAAAGAATGCAAATTGCTCGTGGTCCTTGTTGACAAAAGGATATAATTTTTGCTGTAACATCCTAAAACAAATCCAGTAACCAATCAACAAAATGAAGCGGAGTTCATCATAATAAAGATCAGGAATCAGACAAATATATTCCTTGCAAAGCATATATGGGATAAAAAGCAAAAGCTTTTTACCAGTTGTGCCAATATATATACCCTACCATGATTCACTCTATTTTTTCCAGTTCATATATACAGGTCATATTCCATTTCTAATTGCTCGCTGAAGTTTATTTGCTCAGCCCTACAGTCTATGGCTCTAAGCTATTCACAGCTCACAACTGCCTCCTCCACACCCCCACCCCTCTTCCCCTGAAGGTAACAAATATTTTCAAGACTCGATTCATCGATTGTAGTATAAACATACATGTATGTGTGCACCTTCACGCATTGAGATGCCACAACGTATATGTTCTGCATTTTCAACTTCCATTGTCTAGTTTTTCTTGCTTATAGTTGTTCATATTTGTGAGGATTTTATTTAGGCTCACTCTGAATCTGAGTTTAAAAGCCACGTCGTTATCCCCATTTTAGCCCTTCCCGATCTATGTATCATTTTTACACCTTCTCTTATATTGTCATAGAAATTTTTATTTTTTATTTTTTCCTAATTGACAATGTTACTCTTTTTCCTTTTGCATTCTAGAGGCACCCTGCTTATTTTATCCGCTGGTTCATCCAAAATATGTGCTTAGAAATGGAAAGCTTTGCAAAATAAAACTGCAAAATGTAAAGGAGAGGTAAAAACAATAAGGAAAGTATATTACAAGGGTAAAACAAGAACGATATAAATAGGGGCAAACAGTAGGGTTAGTAGATAAGTTGAATTCCTGATGAAAACAAGGATAAGTGAAAGAACATATGATGTGGGGCGTGAACATAGTCTGGTAAACACAATGATTGGTGAATGGTTCATAGCATGGTTCAAAAGGCCATAGTAAGAAATTATCAAGAAGAAAGGAACCTTTGCATCTTATTTGTGTCTCATAGAGATCTCTAGGCCATGACTACTACTATCGGCCTTTATTATGATCAACCACCATTCAAAGCAGCGTCATCTAAATTCCCAAAAGCCATTTGGACACAGAAAATAAATCCTTGTATTTCCATTGAGATTCTTCACCAACTCACTGAAAAAACTACAGCCATGAGTAACTTTGAAATAGGCTTCCTGAGGTTGATTAGAGTCAATCGCCAAATAATATGGTCGTAGCCGGATGATGTTTTGATATTAGAAGGCTTTTTCTCTAATTATTATTAGTACTTCTCACCTAATGTCGTTAAAGAGTCTCCCAGGCTAAATCTGTGGCCTTTCTTAGTGTGTTACGAGTCTCCCAGCTGCCTAAAAGCAGGAGTCAAAAAGCTTTTAAATGAGCTTGCATATTAGGAAACAGAATACTAAGGTACAATAGGCCTACCATTTGAATGTTATTCTTTTGAGATTTCTCAGTAGCCTCCATAAAGGATCTCACAAAGTCACACTCACACGGTTCAGCCTCCTTGATGTGGTCATATATATAGGTTTTCCTTATCCGTTTCAATGACCATGTCACCACTTGTGTCCAAGGCCTTCTTGCTTTTTATAAGAACCATTGACATTAATTCCTTAACTTCTTTGGAAAAAAAGCTAAATCACATATGAGCCTCACATTAACTTAGATGACAACAAGGCATTATTACTCTAAATTTGTGTTTATCAAATTATAACTACCTTACTGCTAGAGGGCCTGTTGAGTCTCAGAATATCCTTACAGACAAAAAACAACTGGAAGCCATTCACGAAATCACGTGAAAGCAAATATAACACAAATCTTGTCCATGACTCATAACGCACAACTTTTCTCAATTCTCATGTTTTAGCTATTGGTTTTTCAGCATTAGTGGCTGAAATATAAATGCGCTTCTGGGAAAGAAGATTGAAAAATGTCCTATGATAGTATAACACACGTCCAAGCATAATAATCTACCAAATATAGAATTAGACAAACTTCCACACACGAAGGAAGTTCAACCTAGATATCCGACTGTTTCTGAAGGGTGCACTTTTCAATAAGATATGACGTAAGGTTATCAACCACCTAGACAAGTTAGCACAAAACCAGAACAGGTACTTCATATTAAATTATTAATGACA